GGAATTTCTATAATAAGAGAATTTTTATTTGTCCGAAATTAGAAATGACTGAATAAACGAAAGATTTCGGCGCGATTTTTGAAAATCAACCAATCAAATATTATATCCATGAAATTGTGATTGGATTTGATTTTAAAAATCGCGCCGAAATCTTTTGTTTTTTCGGTCATTTCCAATTTTGGACAAATAAAAATTCTCTTACTTAGAAATTCTGTTAACTTATTTTTTTAGGCGAAGTATAAATTCTATAGTATAAAAAATCGGTTATATGGAAATTCTATTAAATAATAATTCAAACAAATGAAAATTCGTCTAAAAGAAAATTCTTTGCAATAAAATTCTAACTAATAAAAATTAATTAAAATAGCTATTATGTTATAAATGAAAATTCGAACAAATAAAAAATTTTGTTAAGTAAATTTTCGGTTATGTAAAAATTCTGTATTATAGAAAATTAATTTTGCATATTTTATCCAATAAACGAAAAAAAAACCATAAATTTTGGGACTTTTTTTTATGGTTTTCACCATAAAAATCAAATTTTTGGGTATTGGCACTATGACTTTCGTTAGCAGCGCATCAAAATACATAAAAATACGTAGTACAAAAAAAGAACCAAAAAAAATTTTTAAAAAATTAAAAATTCAAAAATTTTTCAAAAAATTCCGAAAACATTGTAAAAATCGTTTGCCCATTATCGGGCAAATTCTATACAAAAAAAAAAATTGAAAAGAAAAATTTGCATTATAATATAATTAGAAATTAGAAATAATAATAATTATTTTATATTTTGTAAATTATATTATATTTTTATATTTTCAATAAATAAATAAATATACAATTTATAATAATTATAATTATATTATATAATATAAATAGAAATTATAATTATAATATTATTAGAAATTTAGTTTGCTTCTTTTAAACCTCTTTTACAAAAAATAGAAATTTGAATTAATTATTTTTTTTTTATTTTTGCTAGAAATTCTCACTAATCAATTCCATTCTTTTAATTAAATTCAATTTTTTATTATTGTTTTGAAAATTGCAAAGGAATCTTTATGCATTAGGGGTGGTTCAAACAGTACATTTCAATATTATAGGTTAATAAAAAAAAGAAAAAAAATCTACGAGTCTCGTTTATTAATCGTGCACGTATTTTTCTGAATATAAGATAAAAATATATATTTTACAATTAATAATGTCATTTTTCCCTTATACACTCGTATTATTTTTTTATGATAACCTCAATTGATAAACAAAAAAAAAAACGACTAAAAATAATTTCGACAATGGCGTCATATATCAAAACTAATAATACATATTCTCGTCATTAGTTTTATACGATTTAAATATTAATTAAAAACAAAAAAAAAATGGAAACAAATTACAGAAAAATAATTAATATATGTGTAGGTATAAATATTTCGTAAAAATAAAAGGGGCACATTGTTGACTCACCGTTTTTTAATCAGCTCGAAAGTTCCTCGTTGTAATTCATTAAATCACTAAATCTCTAAATTACTAATTGAATCACTAAATCACTGAATCATTAAATCATATATTAAATCACTTATTAAATTACTAAATCACTTGTCAGTATATTGTCAAGCACGTTTTCTCACGAGGACGCCGGTCATTGTAAAATGTTTGCCTAACCTGACCTGTTGCGCGCGCCAGCTATCCTCTGCGCTTCTGTTTCTGCGCAACGGCGCGAAAATAATTCAAAATTATTATTGTTTGAAAAATAAAAAGCTTCAAATTAAATGTTTTTCATTCAGAATATAATTTAAAAAGTAGAATTAATAATTTTCGAATATTCCAAATACGTTAATGAATTTTTGGTTCATTCTACTCTATATATTTTTTTTTTCTCGATAAAATGTAATATTTGAATTTTTTTTCTGTTTACATTTATATGGCAGAATTTTTTTTTTTTTTTTGTAATTTTACAATTTTCGAGAATCAAACTTTATTCATCAGTGTAGTAAAATTCTGCACATATTTCCGTTTTCCGGTGGAGATATATATTCCTGACGCATGATCGTTTATTATTATATGGATTTGTGTGTATTGTATATATATGGATCTTTTGTTATGAGTGACGGCAACTGGACCTGGCACGTGTTCGAGTACGTTTACAAGACACGTGATTGGTATATCAAAGCATATATATATATATATATATATATATATATATATATTGCACTTGCAGTCAACTCCTTTCATCTGTATTTCCTATATCAAATATATATATATATATATTTATATGTATATATATATTATTTGAATTAAATACATTTTTTTCAGTGTAATACACAAATAAAATTTTTTTTATTTTTATTATTATTATCATTATTATTATTTGCCCATAAATTTTGACTAAAAATATATTTTTTTGAAAATTGTACAACTAATTCTTTCAAAATTTGGTGTAATGTATTTTAAATATATTTTTAGATTTTGTGAAAAATCATTTTTTAGTTTTTGAGGTTATGTTACAGGGCTAAAAATACTGTTAAGTCTCGATTACATTCAAAAATTTCGATAGAAACTAATTTTTATTTTTCCTAATTAAAAAGAAATTTTTTATTAAGGTAAAACTATCATAAAACATAACCTACAAATTTTTTGATGTTAGGTCTCTTCTCTCGAGGAGCGTCATATATATATATATATATATATATATAAATAAATTTCTTTTTAATTAGGAAAAATAAAAATTAGTTTCTATCGAAATTTTTGAATGTAATCGAGACTTAACAGTATTTTTAGCCCTGTAACATAACCTCAAAAACTAAAAATTGATTTTTCACAAAACCCAAAAATATATTTAAAATACATTACATCAAATTTTGAAAGAATTAGTTGTACAATTTTCAAAAAAAAATATTTTTTGCCAAAATTTATTGGCAAATAATAATAATAATAATAATAATAAAAAAAATAAAAAAAATATCATTTGTGTATTACACTGAAAAAAAAAATTTATTTAATTCAAATAATCGGTTACTTGATTTCTATCAATTAAATATTTACTTGAACCCACTAATTTTTTATTTGACTTAAATAAACTGTATTTGAATCAATAATTTCTATATATTTAAAATCAAATATATATCATTTAATTGACTCAAAAATAAAAATTATTTGGTTCAAGTAAAAATATTTAATTGATAATAATAGTCAAGTAATCGATTTTATTTGAATCAAATAAATTTTTTTTTTCAATGCAACTTTTGAACAAATAATATTTGTTAATAAAATTCAACGAACAGTAGAAAATCTTTCAAAGAGCAAAATGAACTATTGTACAACCAGAGAAAAGATTTCTTTAATTTAAAAAAACCAATATCTTTGACTTATGTTTTCTTTAATTCAAAATAAAATTTTCTTTAAATGAAAGAAATTTTTGCATTAAATCAAAGAAATTCTAACAATTGATATAAAATCAAAGAAACATTTATTTGAATTAAATAACAAATTTCTTTAAAACGAAGGTATAATTTTGTTTGAATCAAAGATAATAATTTATTTGAAAAAAAAATGAATTTTCTTTAAATCTAAGAAAAATTTGTCAATGAAATCTTTTTTCTCGGTGTATAAAAATTATTGTTCACCAATCACTCAGAAAAAAGATATATTTGAACCAAATGTACCATTTTTTTATATATACCCAATTTTTTGGTTAGTTCAAACAAAATTTTTGTTTAATTCAAATAAATATTTATTTGATCTAAATAACTGTTTGGTTTATTTTAATAAATTTTTTGAACAAAGAAAAAATTTGATTGAGCTAAATAAACGTTAACCAAATGTTTGGTTAACTGTATATCAATGCATTTATTTTGTTGATTTAACCAAAATTTGGTTGCTTCAAACGAATTTTTTTCTGAGTGAACTTTAAAAAAAATATATATAAAAATTAAAATAATTATACTATTTAATAGAAAAAAATTGTTGCGCAAAATAATTTATTTTGTTAAATTTTCACTTTCAAAATTTGTTAAAATTAATTTTTATTTATTTTTATTATTGTTAAAAACAACATTTTGAGGTTATGTTAATTGGCCTAATAATGTTTTGTGTTTATTGAGAGTTGAACACTTGAAAAATCATAAACATAACCTAAAAATTTTTTTCATTTAAGATCCCTTCTCTCGTGGAGAGTCACGTACATAAATAAAGGGAAAATTTTTCCCTGCACTATGTCGCGAGAATAAGGCGCGATACGTGCGCACGGGAAAAATAAAAAAAAAAAAAAAAAAAAAAAAGGCAGAAGACTTATTGAACCGAATATTGTGTGACCGTAATGCATCGACGCAGTTTTCTGATATTTTATATATGAATTCAACTGCAGCTGCATTTATATGTCCCACTGCAATATAACGCCGCTCTCGTGCTCCAATCTCCCATAGAGCACGACTAATATACCGGAAACTTATGGTTCGAGAATTGTCGGCGAAAACTTTTCCAGATAGCTGCACTCAATTTTTCTTTATCCTTCCCTCTCTCTCTCTCATTTTTTCCCCCCTTTCTCTTTCTGATCTCTGACCTATATGAAATTTGCCTTCTCTGATTTTTTCTTTTTTTTGAGCAAAAAAAAAAAAAGAAACTTCTCAATGAAGTAAAAAAGTTATCCTACGAGTGATTCGAAAAGAAGAAAAGAGAACACGGAAATGGTTAAAACTTTTATTTTATACCTCTCAGAAAAGAATTATTTTCTACCCCAATTATGCAATTTTAATTCGGTTCAAGTAAATCGACATTTTTCAAGGATGCATAATTTCCCCTTTTTAATTGACTAATTAATTATCTTAGATCATTATTATTATTGTAATTTGTAATTCAATTGTAAATTTTTCATTTTATTATTATAATTTGTAATTCAATTGTAAATTTTTTATTTTATTATTATAATTTGTAATTCAATATTGTAAATTTTCCATTTCAAATATAGAATGATGATTTTAAAAAAAAAAATCTATTTTTTGTTACAGAAGGCGATAATGCAAAGTCAACATTTCTTCAAAGGGATCCAGTGAGTGAAAAAAATTTTTTTTTCGTTAAAATTAAAAAAAAAAAAAAAAAAATTTCCCCCTTGTTTCAATAATTGTTTACAGGTTGAAATTTCATCGGAAGAAGATACAAGTGAAGAAGATCTCGAAGAAAATGAAACTAATGATAACGTAGAAAATACCGCAGAGGTACAATATTTACATTAAACAATTTATAATTTACTTTTTAAATTTTCTAAATATTTAAAATTTTAACTTTTTTTTTAAATTAAATTTTTTTTTAATTTTTCAGTTTTTTGCAAATAGAAAATATATACACACACACACATATATAAAGTAATTTGATCGCTATTGCTATTTTAAGCTTTTTATATATATTTTTCAAAATAAATAAGAAAAAAAAATAAAAAAAAAAAAAAAAGATTAATAAATCTCCGATAATGTGATAAAAAAAACGGTTGCAAAATAAAATGAAATTTTCTCTTTGCTCATAGGACGAGTACGAAGATGAACTGAAAGCTGTGGCTGAGTCCCATGAGGCAATGTCTCACGACGACACAAAAAAATCCAATACGTCCTTTTATGATAGTAAGAGCTTCGACGAGAAGTTGATCACAGCGAAGAATTTCGATTCTAAAGAAAAGAGCGTCGAGGATGGCTCAGATGAAAACGAGACCTCGAACGAAGCTGATATTGACGAAGACGATATCGAGAAAAAGAAAAAGGACAAGGAGGTGATGAAAAACAATATGCTGACTCCATAAAAAAAAAAAGAAAACGAGAATTTTTCAATTCAATTTTTTTTTTTTTTACATTTTATATTTATCGAATGCGTTTTTTTTCGAATTATTAATATTTTTTTTTTCCTATAATAAAGTATTTGAAATAATGCAATATAATAAAAAGAATTTAATTCTTTTTTTAAATAATTTTTGATAAAAAATTTTATTTTCTTTGAAAGAAAATAATTTATTTTTTATTAGATCGTAAAAACGACGTTTCCTTTTTTCTATAAATGTCAAAAAACAAGCAATAAAGTATTATTCAACTTGCATTAAAAAAAAATAAAAAAAAAATTTGAAACACCCTAAAGTATTACATGATTTTTCAGTTTTTGAAAGCAAATATAATTCATCACTGGCATATAATATAGAGATCGTAAAATATTTTTTTCGTTAAATATATCAAAATCGATATATATACGTTTTTTTCTAAAGCTTTCACAAATAAGTGAAAAATAAATTAGAATTTACAAAAAATAAGACCAAACTTTTTTCAAAAATTCTCTTTTTCAAAAATTTAATTTTTTAATTTATTTCTTTAAATTTACAATAAAATTATAATAAATAATTTCCTCATAACAAAAAGGGATATCCCTAGGATATCCATATCAATAGTCGATATCCTAGAATGGTCCCCAGGATATCTTAGGATATCCAAACCTCCGGTCTGTGGGTCATCAACAGGACATCCATAGGATATCCACAGGATATCCCTAAGACATCCACAAAATATCTATTGGATATTATATCGCAGGATATCCATGGGATATCATCAGGATGTCCGTGGGATATTCTTAGAATAATCACTGGATATTAAATATCTCAACATATATTTTTAAAGGTTAAAATTGTTAAGCTAATATAACCCTCACAACAAAAGGATATTCAGGATATCCTTGGGACGTCCTGGGGATATCGATTTGTTTTCGGCGGTTTGGATATCCCTGGGATATCTTAGAGATGTCCATGGATATCCAGAGGATATCGTAGGGATATCCGAATCGCCAAAAGCAAATGGATATCCCCAGGACGTCCCAGGGATATCCTGAATATCCTTGTGTTGTGAGGGAATGAATAATAATAATATAATAAAAAGAAAAATCATATGAGCTTCTAATTTATTTTAAATGAAGATTTGAATCGCATTTTTCAAAGTTTTTAAATAAACTCATGCACTTAATGTATAATTAATATTAATAGTTATTCGTTATTTGCGTGGGAAGGATTTATATTGTTTAAAGCCAATTTATTTTCTGACAATATTAAGCATATGAATAAAAGGAATGAATCACGAATGAGAAAAAAATTAGTTAATAATTTTTCAAATTAAACAACTTTCTCGCAAAAACAAGTTGCATTTTATTTTATTTATATAAAATTTAATTCACAGAATATTCTCACTCGTAGTCTCATAATTACTTTAAAAACACTATCCTGAGAATATCTTCTTGACATCCAGAAGATATACTGAGAATATCCTGACGATATCTATGAGATATCCTGATGATATCTGTGGGATATCCTGACGATATCTATGGGATATCCTGATGATATCTGTGGGATATCCTGACGATATCTATGAGATATCCTGATGATATCTGTGGGATATCCTGACGATATCTATGGGATATCCTGATGATATCTGTGGGATATCCTGACGATATCTATGGGATATCCTGATGATATCTGTGGGATATCCTGACGATATCTATGGGATATCTGGAGGACAGTTATGAAAGTCTATAGAGATATCCTGTGGATATCTAAACCGCCGATTTTTTGGATATCCTTAAGAGATCCTTTCAATATCCATAGGACATCCCTAGGATATCTGCGGGATATTATCAATATATCCCAAAATATCTTGTGTTATTATGGTTAACAAATAATAATCCAAACTTCAATACGTTCCACTAAATAATTATAATTAATTAATTTACTTTTTGATAATAATAATAATAATAATAATAATAATAATAACAATTTTTTAATTTATTGAAAACTCCAAAAACGTTAATTTTTTAAATAAAATAATAATGAAAATTGACATGTTTAAAAATAATTTTTTTTTTAAAACAACAGGTTGAAGAACTTTTGGAAAAGAAGAGAAAAAGGTTACCAACAGTTAAAAAAGAATTGAGGACACAAAAGGAAATTCAAGCAGATAATGATACGGTAATTTTTTATTTATAAATATTATATTGCGATTTTTTCTTATTGATTTTTTTTTAATTTTTAATTTTTATTTTTCTTTGATTAATTTTTTTTTTTTTTTTTGTTTAATCTCAATTTAACATGTGTGCGATAACATCGACCCTGAAACACTTATTTGGAAGTTGTCCAAATAATTTTTCATTTCGATGTGTCAAGTTTGGTTCTATGTTTTTGTCGAGGGTTTTTTTTTTTTTTTGTGAGCCGAAAAAATTGAAAAGAAAAGAGAAACGGATTCTCATTTTCACGTGTGCGGAAAATGAAGAACACAAAGAACGCAATTTCTCGACTAATTGAAGATTTTACACACACAGGTGATACATTACACTACTCTTATATTACTATATAGTGATTAAAGTTAACACGTTTCGTGTTACTTTTTTATAATTCAACCATAACAAAAATAATGTTTTTTTTTAATATGATAAATTTACTTTTTTTAATTTAAATTTATTTCTTCTTTAATTTCGCATTTTCAGTGAAGTTATTTTTTTTATTAAACAATTAGGTTTTTTTTTAGAGAAGAATTAAAAAAATTCAAATTTATTAATTTAAATATGAAATTTTATTAGAGTTTCAAAAGTTAAATTCATCCAATTCGCAAATCACTAAATGGTTTGATAAACTGCTACTGAAAGGAATGCAATTAATCTTAGGGTTACATAGATTAGAATCGGGAAAGGCAGGGCATTGAAGCGTTCAACGTTCCTAATCGTTCGAGTTATCGCTCCATTTACTGGCAGCGTTGTCAGCAATTTTTTTTTTTTTTTTTTTTTTCCGAAAAATCCCTTTTAAAAAAAGAGTTTGGATAAAATTGTCAGGAAAAATAAATTGAGTTTAATTTCGACAAAAATTACCTGTCTAGAAAAACAATATACAAAAATTTAAAACATTCATTAAAAAAATCTGTGAGGATAATTTGGAATTATGAATAAAAAAAAAAAAATTATAAAATATTGTAAGAAAAAAAAAAAAATTTTCTTTTTCAGTTGGAAGATGAAACGCTGACAGTGAACGTGTTAAGGATGTTGGCAAAGTTGGCAGAAAATCCTGAACGATGGGAAAGAGTTCATCAACTTCTGAGTAAGTGCCAATCCAATGAAAATCTTATTTCAAAAATATATACATACTGTTGCCTCATAAACATTCATAATATCGACTTATAATGCATAGTAGTTTATCATAAAAATGAAGTTCCTGATAAAAAGTCATTTCATCTCGTTTCTAAGAGAATGTAAATTAACTTCCTTTAGAATGGCCTCTTTTTACGATCCATCAAAAACAAGAAAGATTTCACTAATTACATTTTTTTTTCAACAGTTTTGTGATTAGAATCCCCTCAATTTTTTTTATCCTATTTTTTGTTTAAAAAAAAAAAAATGAGATTAAAGAAAATTTAATCCGGAACATAAAATTCGATTTAATTTTAGAAATCTCTACAGAAAGCTGAAAACATTTCTCAAGATTGTAATTTCCTTCTTTTGAACTCAAAGAACTTGCACAAAATGTTATGTGTAGTATCAATTTCAATGAAACTTGACAATCGCTCAATTAAATCTTAATTTAAAAGGAACTCTATAGACAAAAGTGAAATAACTGCTGTATAGGAGAATTCCTCTGAATTGTAATTGGTTCAATTATTTTCATCTCTACTTTAATTAATTTTCCTCTACCCTCAAGCACTTTTACGTCGTTCTTATATATATATATATAAAGATGAGAATTCATCACTAGTTAATAATACAATTACAGCATAATATTGAATATTTTCCAGTCATCGATTTTCAAAAAAACTTTTCAAAATTATAAGTCAATAACACATTTTGGCAATTGTTTTTTTGCATATATACAATTTTCATATAATATCCAATGATTCGGAATGCCCCGTTTACGGAAACTGATTTCAGCTCTATTGCACCCTACAATGGCGCCTTAATAACGCGCCAAAATTCTTGATTAATGAATCTCGTTAAGTTCATTGAGGCTTGCTTTTTAAGGTATCGACTTACAGTAACATAAAATTTGGCAACGAAAACCATTCGCGTTAACATAAAATAACGAGCCAAACTTTTCTTTATGTCGAAAGTTTCCCAAAAAAAAAAAAAAAAAAATTATATCTTAAAATTGAGAAATAATTATTATAATTTTAGTGCATCTGGACGATGGTCGTGAAGGTTCTCGTCGTGCAATGTTGGCACGAAAGAGAAATTTATTACCAAATTACGATTCAATATCGACAACACCAAAAATGGATGATCCATTGAGAACATTTAAAAAACCAAAGAAGAAAAAGAAAAAGAAGAAACCACATCATAAAACCACAATAGCATCACTGCCAGTGACAATTTCTTCTATTACAACAACAGAATCACCATGGTTGACAACATCAATTCCCTGGCGATTAGTTGCTGATAATTTTAATTCACCCCTATGGCAACAACAACAACAACAACAACAACTTGATGAAAGTCCATCAAATTTGGCAAAAGTTAGATATTCCGTACTCTCGAAACCACGTTCAACTGGACATCAATTAATTGATGAGAAGCAAAGGGAAAATTTAAAAACACTCAATAATCAACGACAAGCTTTGATGTTGAAGAGCGCAAGAGAATATTCTCAACCACGACTTCTTCATTTTGGCAAAGTAAACACACATCAAGTACCAGCTTTTGATGATGGTAAGTATATTTTTTATTTTAAAAAAATTTCAAAAACTAATTGAAAATTTTTAATTTTCATAGAAACAATACGAATGAGAAACTATGATCCCTCAGAATTTATACACTTCAAACACTCAAGATATCCACAATATAATTCATTACCAAGAGATTTTAGTTTAGATAAATTTCAAAACAATTTTCAAGACGATTTTAATGAGGGATTTGCAAGAAATCAAGAATACCGACCCACGGGTAGAGAATTTGCCGCTAGTAAAAGTTGGCAAAATTCACCATTTGACTATAGAAAACCAAAAATGGATTTTCGCCTCGTACAAATGAAAAATCCATGGTACTATTCACAAGAATCAAAACCATGGCAACCATACAGAAAACCATTGTTTCGTGATTATTGGTCACGAATCGAAAACGATGAAATGGATTCCCTGGAGAAATCCTGGCATCAGAGGCATCATCCTCAATCATGGAAAATAGATGATACATGGCCTGGCGACAAATCCCTTCAAATTGGTGTAAGTTTAATTAGAATTTTTAGGGTTTCGTGGCCCAGGGCCGTAAGCCTTATAGTTTCGCTTTGGCGTCCGTCGTAAATGGTAACCGTTTCCATGGCAACAGTTACTATGGCAACAGTTACTATGGCAACAGTTACTATGGCAATTGTTACTTACTAAGGCAAAAGTTACTATGACAAAAGTTAGTTACTAGGGCAAAAGTTACTTTGGCAAAAGTAAGTTACTAGGGCAACTGTTACTTTGGCAAAAGTTACTAGCTCAAAAGTTAGTTACTAGGGCAACAGTTACTATGGCAAAAGTTACTTACTGTGGCAAAAGTTACTATGGCAATTGTTACTTACTAAGGCAAAAGTTACTACGGCAACAGTTACCATGACAAAAGTTAGTTACTAGGGCAAAAGTTACTTTGGCAAAAGTTAGTTACTAGGGCAACAGTTACTATGGCAAAAGTTACTATGGCAAAAGTTACTATGGCAATTGTTACTTACTAAGGCAAAAGTTACTATGGCAACAGTTACTATGACAAAAGTTAGTTACTAGGGCAAAAGTTACTTTGGCAAAAGTTACTTTGACAAAAGTTAGTTACTAGGGCAAAAGTTACTATGGAAAAAGTTACTATGGCAATTGTTACTTACTAAGGCAAAAGTAACTATGGCAACAGTTACTATGACAAAAGTTACTATGGCAACAGTTACTATGGCAAAAGTTACTATGACAAAAGTTAGTTACTAGGGCAAAAGTTACTTTGGCAAAAGTTAGTTACTAGGGCAACAGTTACTATGGCAAAAGTTACTATGGCAACAGTTACTATGGCAAAAGTTACTATGGCAAAAGTTACTATGGCAATTGTTACTTACTAAGGCAAAAGTTACTATGGCAACAGTTACTATGACAAAAGTTAGTTACTAGGGCAAAAGTTACTTTGGCAAAAGTTACTTTGACAAAAGTTAGTTACTAGGGCAAAAGTTACTATGGAAAAAGTTACTATGGCAATTGTTACTTACTAAGGCAAAAGTAACTATGGCAACAGTTACTATGACAAAAGTTAGTTACTAGGGCAAAAGTTACTTTGACAAAAGTTAGTTACTAGGGCAACAGTTACTATGGCAAAAGTTACTATGGCAATTGTTACTTACTAAGGCAAAAGTTACTATGGTAATAGTTACTATGACAAAAGTTACTATGGCAATTGTTACTTACTAAGGCAAAAGTTACTATGGCAACAGTTACTATGACAAAAGTTAGTTACTAGGGCAACAGTTACTAAGGCAAAAGTTACTATGGCAACAGTTACTATGGCAAAAGTTACTTACTGTGGCAAAAGTTACTACGGCAACAGTTACCATGACAAAAGTTAGTTACTTTGGCAAAAGTTACTTTGGCAAAAGTTAGTTACTAGGGCAACAGTTACTATGGCAAAAGTTACTATGGCAACAGTTACTATGGCAAAAGTTACTACGGCAACAGTTACCATGACAAAAGTTAGTTACTAGGGCAAAAGTTACTTTGGCAAAAGTTAGTTACTAGGGCAACAGTTACTATGGCAAAAGTTACTATGGCAACAGTTACTATGGCAAAAGTTACTATGGCAAAAGTTACTATGGCAATTGTTACTTACTAAGGCAAAAGTTACTATGGCAACAGTTACTATGACAAAAGTTAGTTACTAGGGCAAAAGTTACTTTGGCAAAAGTTACTTTGACAAAAGTTAGTTACTAGGGCAAAAGTTACTATGGAAAAAGTTACTATGGCAATTGTTACTTACTAAGGCAAAAGTAACTATGGCAACAGTTACTATGACAAAAGTTAGTTACTAGGGCAAAAGTTACTTTGCCAAAAGTTAGTTACTAGGGCAACAGTTACTATGGCAAAAGTTACTATGGCAATTGTTACTTACTAAGGCAAAAGTTACTATGGCAATAGTTACTATGACAAAAGTTACTATGGCAATTGTTACTTACTAAGGCAAAAGTTACTATGGCAACAGTTACTATGACAAAAGTTAGTTACTAGGGCAACAGTTACTAAGGCAAAAGTTACTATGGCAACAGTTACTATGGCAAAAGTTACTTACTGTGGCAAAAGTTACTACGGCAACAGTTACCATGACAAAAGTTAGTTACTTTGGCAAAAGTTACTTTGGCAAAAGTTAGTTACTAGGGCAACAGTTACTATGGCAAAAGTTACTATGGCAACAGTTACTATGGCAAAAGTTACTATGGCAATTGTTACTTACTAAGGCAAAAGTTACTATGGCAACAGTTACCATGACAAAAGTTAGTTACTAGGGAAACAGTTACTATGGCAACAGTTACCATGGCAATAGTTACTATGGCAAAAGTTACTTACTGTGGCAAAAGTTACTATGGCAATTGTTACTTACTTTGGCAAAAGTTACTATGGCAACAGTTACTTACTAAGGCAAAAGTTACTATGGCAACAGTTACTATGACAAAAGTTAGTTACTAAGGCAAAAGTAACTATGGCAACAGTTACTATGACAAAAGTTAGTTACTAGGGCAAAAGTTACTTTGCCAAAAGTTAGTTACTAGGGCAATAGTTACTATGGCAAAAGTTACTATGGCAATTGTTACTTACTAAGGCAAAAGTAACTATGGCAACAGTTACTATGACAAAAGTTAGTTACTAGGGCAAAAGTTACTTTGGCAAAAGTTAGTTACTAGGGCAACAGTTACTATGGCAAAAGTTACTATGGCAAAAGTTACTATGGCAAAAGTTACTATGGCAATTGTTACTTACTAAGGCAAAAGTTACTATGGCAACAGTTACTATGGCAAAAGTTACTTACTGTGGCAAAAGTTACTTACTGTGGCAAAAGTTACTACGGCAACAGTTACCATGACAAAAGTTAGTTACTAGGGCAAAAGTTACTTTGGCAAAAGTTAGTTACTAGGGCAACAGTTACTATGGCAAAAGTTACTATGGCAATTGTTACTTACTAAGGCAAAAGTAACTATGGCAACAGTTACTATGACAAAAGTTAGTTACTAGGGCAACAGTTACTATGGCAACAGTTGATTTCCGCAGCAACCGTTTCCATAGCAACTATAGCAATTCACAAATAATGTAATTATAAATTATTTATTATATTCAAATAATTTTTGATCTGAATTTAAAAAGCCACGAAACCCTAGATGTAGGCGCTTTGCGCCTGCTTTTTTTTTTTCTTCCGAAAACATGAAATTGTATGTCAATTTAGGTGCCACCTTGGTCGGAAAAATCCAATCATCATCATCAAGAGGAAAATTTTGCTTGGGATAGAGCACGAAATCGTTCGGAATTAAAAATAAATCCAACAAAAGAGGAGACAAACAAAAATATTCTTCCAAAAATAACAATGAAATCGTGGAATAGTTTAACATCAGATCCCGCTACATGGCCATTTAAATTACCCGACGCAAAGCCATGGCCCAAGGATCAAAATGGAAAATCCTACAATCCAAATGCTGATCTGGTGAGAAAACTTGGTCTCGACAAACAGAATAAACTTCTGTCAGACAAGAATTCCTCAAAGGATTTTAAAGCATTAAAGTATAAGGAAAGAACAATGTCCTCGGATCAGAAGAACAGTGATGGAAAGAATTGGCCTGTAAAACTTATCGGTGACGATGACTGGATGAGTAAAGTTAGAAGTTCAGAAAAACTCTCTGACGATGATTCTAGATCATGGACAACAAATAATGGCGAAAAATCATGGCATGGGTAAGTTATTTATCTCAATTTTTTTTTTTTCCCCATAATAAAATTTTTATATAACTTTTAAGTGTTGGAAAAAGCATTTCTTCAAAATCACAATGGGAAATGCCTGTTGATCAATCAACGTGGAGGCCTTATGATCAATCCTATCAACAAGATTCTCCAAATCGTGCCTGGAACGGAAGAAACAATGAATTAATATGGAATTCAAAATCACAAAATTGGCCACAAAAAATTGGTGAGGATTGGAATGAAAATTATGCAAAACAAACTGGTACCACAAATAATTGGCCATCAAAATGGAAACAATTTGCCTATCACAGGTAACTGAAAAAAAAATAATCCTATTCAATTTGCCAAAGGTATAAAAATTATTTGATTTTAACAACTATAGAATCTGTACTTTTTATACCATTGGCAGAAATTATTTTTCTCAATATAGTAATAAATGCAATAACTAAAATTCAAATTTAGGGTAACAGCAATGCCAATAACAAAAGCAGGATCATCACTCGAAGGTTCAGCGAAGCCAAAAAATGCCTTTATCGCCGTCTCGGCAGTGTCTTCTTCAAAATACAATAACGAATGGAGGAAAAATGATATAGAAGAGACTCCCATTAACAAAAATTTCAGGTAAAATAGAAGTATACTCAAAATCTGCAAGAGAGAAATTATACTTAATTTAAATTATCATTGTGATAAAGTGTTTAAAAAATGGGGGTCATTTCTTATCTCAGTTAATCCTCTCTCTCTCTCTCTCTCTCTCTCTGGGCATTGTTTGCGCAAAAGAGGATTTAGACAAAGAAGTTGATGCTGTTAAATTTACCCTCCTGCACGTAGAATTATTTACATTGTATTTAATCCTTTATGTCTTGGTCTTTTGAATTTAGTTTCATCTCCCTCCCCCTTCAAGTGTCCTTTGTAGCATCTTTATTGGAAAATTAAGTTTCCTTAACTGTATTCAAAGGGATTATAGGTTACGACCTTTTAATGTTACATGAAAAGTTTTAAGTATAGAGGAATTAGATTCTGAGAAAATTGTCAATGATTTGTAATTTATATTTTTCAAAGGTATTTTTGAAAAATGTATATTTCAAAATTGAAAAGGGAAATTTCTTTTTTTTCTCACGATAGATCAGTGGATCCAGATCATCCAGTAAGTCAACTTCATTCCTCTATTGAATCGCCAATTTATGCATGGAAAAAAGACGGGAGTCCGTCCAATAAGACGAGGAGCGTTGAAATCTTACCCTCTGATCCTTTGGAGCATCAATTGGAGGATCTGAGACTGAACTCATCGTCACAAAACTACAGCAAAAGTAAAGTGGGTCAAAATTTTGATTTCAAAAAATATATATTTTATACATTTTTTTTGTTCATTATGCATCAAAATTTCTTTCATAAAATATATAGTAGTATATTTTTTTTTATATGGACAAAAATTGATTTGACTTTTTATGACTATCACCATATAAATATTTTTCTTAGTATTCAGTAATTAATATTTAAGTCAATTAAATTGCAGTATCTAAATCTGAATTAGTAAAAAAAAAATTAGAAAATTTTTTAATTAATTTGAATCAGTGACTCACTTTTTGTTTATGAATTAATTTAATTAATTAGATAGTAAAAAACGGTTAAAAATTTTAACAAATTAACATTTGTTAGAATTTCTTTTTTAAAAAATTTTTAATTAATAGAATTTTTAGGCACCGAATTTTTATTTAGTAGAATTTTTGAAAACGCCGAATTTTTTATTTGTCCGAAATTGCTAAATGACCGAACAAACAATCGATTTTGGCGCAATTTTTAAAATCCACTAATCACGATTTTCTTGACAATTTATTTGATTGGTGGATTTTAAAAATCGCGCCGAAATCGATTGTTTTATCAAATTTTATCAAATGTTAATCAAATAAAATTCTTTAAAATGAAAATTTTAACTAGTGATTTTTATGGGATAATCATGCGCCCGGTAAAAATTAATTAAATACTAATTTGAAAGTAAAATTTTTTTTTTTACTATTAGTTAGTAAAATTTAACTAATTCAAATTTATTGATTCAAATTTGTTAAAATTTTTACTAATTTAAATTTAGAGAGTATTTGTTTTAAGTAGAGAAATTATTGATTCTAATAAAAAAATTATTGAATCTAGTATAAAAATTATTGGTCCAAGTAAATATTTTTATTTCTACTCAAAATATGAAAATTAAATTAAATAAAAATTTGTATAAATTATAATATAAAGGTAAAAATTGAAATTAAAATGATATATTCGTCAAAAAAAAAAAAAAAAAAAGAAGGAAAAAAAATAAATGACCGTAATTCTTAAAAGTCTTTCTCTAAGGGAAAAACACGTATTTCTATCTTTTCAAAGAGTGGGGGGATAAACGATTTGTTTTGTCTGGAAAAATCGAAAAGCAGAAAAGAAATTTAAACTTCCTCAGGATTTAAAGTATAGCATTTTGTCGAAGATAGGAAGAAGAACTATATTCAGAAAGTAACGGTGAAAAAGAATCTTTTCCATTTCTCTGCAAACAAACTCTTCTTCTTCTTCTTTAGTTACCCAGAAAAACTTTTTCAAGAGATACTTTTCTGTATTGTAAATAAAAGTTTTTCTTAAAACGCATGTATACACAACAATTCACACTACATATATATGTATATATATATATATAATATATATAAAGGAAATTTTAATTTGATTACTTCAATTATTTTAATTAGTTAATTTATTATTATTATTTTTATAATTACTTTATCAAATTTTCAAAAACAAAAAATGTTAAATCAAAACATAATTGTATAATGCTTTCTGTAGAAAAAAATGGCTAAACTTGAAAATGTTTTTTTTTTTCGAAACAATAAAAAAGTACCTAATTACTCTACTTGGAAAGACTCTTAAAAAAGCTTTCAGAGTTTTGGGTTGAGGGAACGTGCAGCAATTTTAGATATCCACTGTCGTTGACGAAAACGTGTCTTGACTCTGGTAAAGAGTTACCTTCCTATTGCCGGAAGTGGGAGATAGATGGTTTTTCCTACTTGTCCCTTACGTGATCTTTGGTTTGATTGCAAAACTTCTTCTCTATAGGAGGAGATACTATTCACTAAAGAGCAACACTTTAAATTCAACCCCTCACCTCTTTGTTTAATTTCATTTGAATCTCTTAAACTGACAAATGACACTAAATTCAAATGAAACATTTTCTTTAGAGTAGAAAAAAAAAATAAATAAAAGCAAGCAAACTTTTCTTTATCTCATCTGAAGATAATTCAACAACCGATTTATTTTATAAAGGAAAATTAAAAATAAATTACAAAGTTCATCGCAGTTTTTTTTTTTTTACTAGAAATTAAATAAAAATTATTTCATTCAATCCAGAAATAAACCCAATCAAAAATTTCAGTATTATACCAGAGTTCACTATTGGAACAGTACTGGTTCAGTATTGGCTGCCGAGACTGGGCAGTCTGTACTGAACCAGTACTGGTATTTTCATTGTATCAGTACTGTTGCAGTACCACCCTCCCAGTACTGGCAAACCACAACTGAGCCGATATTGAGCCAGTACTGGCTCAAATAGATTTTCTTTTTGATTAATACTAGTTTAAAAAAAGTTCTAGAGTGAACTTGATGAATCTTTTTGTTTAAATATTTTGTTTATAAAAATTTTTTCACCTTGATTTTATTTTTCAAAATTAAAATTTATTTTATTTTGCTTTTCTGTGGGTTAAAATTATTTAAACAAAAAGTTTCCTGAGACCGCAAGCCTTAAACATTTTGCAAGATTTTCTTATTGTTTTCAGATATGCAATAAAACAAAAAAAAATTTTAAACGATTAAACTAAAAATAAATAAATTTGTTTATAAAAAATTTTTTATTTTTTTAAATAAAAATTTTAAAAAAAATTTTCTTGACAACACTTGTTAAAAATCAAAAAACAACTTTTATTTTCTTAAAAAAGTTTTTCAAAAATTCCTTTTGATGCAAATATATATATGTGATTAAAAATAGATATTATACTTTTGAAAAAAACTTAAATTTAAAAATTTTTACCCGAAAATTTATAAACCTACAATAAATTACGTATACTTTTTTTTCTCAAAACTTTGGTTTTGTAATAAACATATTTTTATATTTATTTTTTGATTTTTTAAAATAATAATTTGCAATATATATTATAATAAAGAATAAAAATTCTTGGTGTTTTCGATTTAATATAATAAAATATTAATTACAGGCCTTGGATCGACTTAAAGGCACAAAAAAAGTCGTTTTAGTCGATTTATATTCCAAAAAAAGTCGATTTTTTTTATTTTAACAAAAAAATTTTAGATTTTTTAATAATAATAATTTTGAAAAGGATTAAAGTTGAAATTTTAACAAATAACTGAATTTCAAAAGTTAATTTTCAGACAATAATTAAATTTTACAGAAGTAAAAATAATTAATCAAATAATTTTAGATAACATTTTTTAAAAGTAACTGAATTTTCAAAGATGATTAATTTTGAATTAAAATTCTTGAGAATAATTGAATTTTAGTTGATTTTTAATTGAAAATTTTAATAATAATTAATTTTGAATTGAAATTTTTGATAATAATTGAATTTTAGTTGATTTTTAATTAAAAATTTGAAAAATAAATTAATTTTAAAAGATTTTAAATTGAAAATTTTGAAAATAACTGAATTTTAAAAGATTTTGAATTGAAATTTTGGAAAATAATATTGAAGAATTTATCAGTAGTAACAAAAATTGAACTTAAAAATCTTTTTAATTGCAAAATGATTTTAAATAATTGAATTTTCTTAGAATATTATAAAAATAGTTAAAAATAATTGAATTTCAGGAGGATTCAGAAATAATTAAATTTTAGAAGCTTTTAAATTCAAATTTTTGAATATCATTAAATTTCAATTGAAATTTTTGATAATTATTGAATTTTAGTTGATTTTTCATTGAAAATTTTAATAATAATTAATTTTAAATTGAAATTATTGATAATAATTGAATTTTAGTTGATTTTAAATTGAAAATTTGGAAAATAATTGAATTTTGAAAGATTTTGAATTGAAAATTATTTTGAAAATAATTGAATTTTGAAAGATTTTGAATTGAAAATTTTGAAAACAACTGAATTTTCTTTGATTTTGAATTGAAAATTTTGAAAATAATTGAATTTTAGTTGATTTTTGATTGAAAATTTTAATAATAATTAACTTTGAATTGAAATTATTGATAATAATTGAATTTTAGTTGATTTTAAATTGAAAATTTGGAAAATAATTGAATTTTCAAAGATTTTGATTTGAAAATTTTGAAAATAACTGAATTTTAAAAGATTTTGAATTGAAAATTATTTTGAAAATAATTGAATTTTGAAAGATTTTGAATTGAAAATTTTGAAAACAACTGAATTTTCTTTGATTTTGAATTGAAAATTTTGAAAATAATTGAATTTTAGTTGATTTTTGATTGAAAATTTTAATAATAATTAACTTTGAATTGAAATTATTGATAATAATTGAATTTTAGTTGATTTTAAATTGAAAATTTGGAAAATAATTGAATTTTCAAAGATTTCGATTTGAAAATTTTGAAAATAACTGAATTTTAAAAGATTTTGAATTGAAAATTATTTTGAAAATAATTGAATTTTGAAAGATTTTGAAATGAAAATTTTGAAAACAACTGAATTTTCTTTGATTTTGAATTGAAAATTTTGAAAATAATTGAATTTTAGTTGATTTTTGATTGAAAATTTTAATAATAATTAACTTTGAATTGAAATTATTGATAATAATTGAATTTTAGTTGATTTTAAATTGAAAATTTGGAAAATAATTGAATTTTCAAAGATTTCGATTTGAAAATTTTGAAAATAACTGAATTTTAAAAGATTTTGAATTGAAAATTATTTTGAAAATAATTGAATTTTGAAAGATTTTGAAATGAAAATTTTGAAAACAACTGAATTTTCTTTGATTTTGAATTGAAAATTTTGAAAATAATTGAATTTTAGTTGATTTTTGATTGAAAATTTTAATAATAATTAACTTTGAATTGAAATTATTGATAATAATTGAATTTTAGTTGATTTTAAATTGAAAATTTGGAAAATAATTGAATTTTCAAAGATTTCGATTTGAAAATTTTGAAAATAACTGAATTTTAAAAGATTTTGAATTGAAAATTATTTTGAAAATAATTGAATTTTGAAAGATTTTGAAATGAAAATTTTGAAAACAACTGAATTTTCTTTGATTTTGAATTGAAAATTTTGAAAATAATTGAATTTTAGTTGATTTTTGATTGAAAATTTTAATAATAATTAACTTTGAATTGAAATTATTGATAATAATTGAATTTTAGTTGATTTTAAATTGAAAATTTGGAAAATAATTGAATTTTCAAAGATTTCGATTTGAAAATTTTGAAAATAACTGAATTTTAAAAGATTTTGAATTGAAAATTTTGAAAACAACTGAATTTTCTTTGATTTTGAATTGAAAATTTTAAAAATAATTGAATTTTAGTTGATTTTAAATTGAAATTTTTGAAAATAACTGAATTTTAAAAGATTTTGCATTGATTTGCGATTTTGAATTAAAAATTTTTGGTAATTTCATTTGATATTTTTAAAATTTTAAACAATTGTTAAATTTCATAAAATATTTTAATTGAAAAATAATTTGAAATAATTGAATTTGTGATGAATTTCATTAAAATTATTAAAAATAATTAATGTATTTTATACTAAAAAAAACGGATTTTATTAAAAAAAAAAAATTTTTAAATGTAAAAAAGTCGAAAAAGTCGCATTTTATTAAAATAAATCGAAAAAAATCGTATTTTTGAAAAAAAGTCGGAAATAGTCGAAAAAAGTCGTATAATCCGAGGCCTGTAATTAGTTAGTTGACTAATTTAATTAATATTTAATTTGTGTTGGGTTACTAAAAATTTCAGACACTCTTTCCTAAGTATACCAAAAAAGTATAATACTGGGTGCCAGTACTGCGCCATTACTTGTCAGTACTGCGCCAGTACTGCGCCAGTAATAAATTTTTGATTGGGAAAAAATTGGCTTATAAAAGAAATTAAAATTAATAATAAATTAACAATTTAATTTACTGTAAATTAATATTAAAATCAATGTTTCACACTATTGTAATTTATAATTTATAAACAATGAAATTATTATTTTTAATTTATTTTATAAGCTAATTTTTATATTTGAATTGAATGAAATAATTTTCATCTAGTTTCTAGTAAAAAAAAAAAAAAAGAAAAAACATTAAAATTCGGTAATTTCTTATTAATATTCTTTTATATTAAAATTTCAATTGTTTTGAAAAATTCTATTTTTAAAAATTATTTATTTTTATTTTTAAGTTTAATTACTTTTTTTATAATTTGTTAATTTAAAAAAATTATTTTTGAATTTAGTTATTTTAAAATTCAATTATCTACACGCAAAAAAATCTTCACCTGGAACAGCGATAAATTTCTCTGGAACAGCGATATATTTCTCTAGATTAGCGAAAACTTTCGCTATTTTAGTGAAAAATATCACTGATCTAGGTGAAGATTTTTTTTTTTTGCATGTATCTAAAAAACATTATATTACAATATCGAGCAATAAAAATTATTGGAATTTAAAAATATAATTCACTGAAAAAAAATTTATTTCATACAATTAATCGGTTACTTATTATCAAATAAATTTTGAGTCAATTAAATGGAATTTGTTTTAAATGCAGAAATTATTGATTCAAATAAAATTTATTTAATTCAATTATTTCATTTCAAAATTTATTTGGTTCAAGTAATAATATTTATTTGATAATAGTCAAGTAGCCGATTATTTGAATCAAATAATTTTTTTTTCCATTTGTTGAATTTACAAAATAGTTGCACCTAAAATATTATCAAATTTCAATAATAGTTGAATTTTAATAAAAATTGATTTAAAAAATTATTTACAAAATTATATTATAGTTTCTAATCTAATTGAATTTTTAAATAATAGAATTTTATTCCTTAAAATTAAGATAATTGTTTAATTTTTCAATTCAAAAAAAAAAAGTTGCTAAAGAAAAAATTTTAAAAATGAATTTGATTTTTTTGTTTCAGAATAAAATAAATGGAAGTGAATTATCAACCACATTTTCAGTGAATAATCCATTGAACGGAACGTTTGTCGGAAATTTGACAAAAGAAATAAATAAACGACATTCCAATCTGTCGAGTGAGAGAGTATTAGAAAAATAGAATTTGGATTTACAGAGAGCAATTATTTATAAAAAGAAAAAAAAAATCTATCAAAACAAAATTTTCTACTACTCTCATTGAAATTGTAATTAATCTAAAATTTAATTTGTCATAGAAATTAACGGAAATATTTTAAGTTAAAAATTAATTTTTAAATAAATTTATTAATTTTCATAATTCTCACTTTATATATATTAGAAGAAATAATTTCTTTTAATCATTAATTATTATTATAGAATTTTATAATTATTTCATTTTCATCGATTATTCACAACTATGTAAATATATAAATGCATAATTTTTATTACAAAATCTCTATAATAATTAATTTTATCTCTAAAATTGAAGTTCTATTTAAAAAAAATATAGAACACATCGTGTTGTATATGTATACAATGTATTTTGTATAGCTTGACCAAAAATAATTTTTTTTTTAAATAGATCAAAAAAAAAAAAAAAAAAAAAACCAGTTAAAAATTAATCGACAGAAAAATTAATTTCATATAAAAAAAATTAATTAATTTTCCCAAAATTAGATTTTCAAAATTCATAAAATAATTTATTATAAATAAAAATAATAAAATTCTGATATAAATTTAAAATTCTAAAAATTAGAGAGAATCACTTCATCAAATAAAAAAGGAAAATTATCAAAATGCGCTGTATTTATGAATAAAATATTTAATTTATATTTTAATACAAAAAAAAATTTTTCAAAAAATATTTGTGATTTCTCGGACAAATTTTATTAAATTAAAAAATTAATGGTTAAAAAGACAATTAAACATATGTGGCATATCAGGTCGATTAATATTTGAATTTTAAACAAAAAACACTTGAGTGTTTAAAAGTCAGTGTGTACATAATGATGAGACTGTTATTTATTTTAAATTAATCCATTGATCAAACTGAAAGGTACATTTCAATAAAAAAAAAAGAAAAAAAAACTACCGAAATTTTTTTCATTCTTTACTCATCAATTACGTAAAAACAAATTATTAAATGCGAAAAAAACGTGTGATATTTCATTATTTACGTCATACCATGTGAAATTTTAAAAATATTTTCTACGCATTTTTTTTCATTATAAAAAAAAAAAAATTATCCTTCAAATAGTTTAATTAATTTAAAAAAAAAATCCTGAAATAATTACATTGTTATATATATATAGTTCTGCAATTATTATTCTTAATACAGTTTCACTTTTTTTTTTTTTTTTTTTTATTTCTTTATTGTTCTTGTGTTATACATTCCAATTAAAATAATAATTGCAGAAGAAAGAAGAAAAAAAAAAAACAAAGTTGTTTATATAAAATATATTTGAGCTGTGATTATTTTTATAGTCTATTATAATTTATTGCTATAGTAAAAATAATGTTTCATTGTATTTGGAAAAAAAATAGACATTTCGTACAAAAAAAAAGAATGTACCGTCAAGAAAATGAAAAAAAAAAAAACATATGTTTTCTGTATATCTGCGTCTATATCTCGATTTAAGAAAAATGGAGAAATAAATGTCATACGTTACATAAAATTAAGTGCATCATTTTTTTTCCCCCTCCTTTATTCCTCAACATTCTTTTTTTTTCAAAAATTAATAAATTTTCAAATTTTTCACTTTCCTCTCAATGCTTTAAATTTTATTCCTACAAAATTATTTATTTTCGGTAAATATAAATAAATATTATTATAAAATAAATAAATAGAAACAAAAAATAAAAAGGAAAAAAGAGATTTAAAAAATTAATTTTATTGTCAATGATTTTTTTTTTTTCCCCTCGGTACAGAATATTTGAGAAATAATTTGAAATCGCATTGATTTACATGTAAAAGGTAAATTTATATTGTGAATTTATAAAATGGAAAAAAAAATGATAATAAAAAAAAAAAAAATGGAATAATTTAATTATTTTATGTAAAAAGAAAATGATTTATAGTAGTACAGGAGAAAGGATAGAAAATGTGTGAGTGTGCTTTTACTCCATATAATAGTCATATATAGAAGGAGAATTTAGAATCCACAAAGCTCCTTATTTTCTGTAACGCGCGTTCCGTTTCCGTTTACGTTTCCTTACACTGTCGCGCTTTTAATTAAAGTGCATTCGTCTTGCAGAGCGACAAGCCCACCAGCTTCCGGGAAATAGTAATTGATATGTTCTAACTTAATTATCTTATTTCCAAAAACATTTTGTGCCAATAGAAAATTGAGTCATTAACCAAATTAATTATATCATTACCCTAATAACACAAGATATCTTGGGATATATTGATAATATCCCGCAGATATCCTAGGGATGTCCTATGGATATCAAAAGGATCTCTTAAGGATATCCAAAAAAAATCGGCGGTTTGGATATCCTTTGGATATCCCATGGATATCTGAGGATATCGCTATAGACTTTCATAAATGTCCTCCAAATATCCCATAGATATCGTCAGGATATCCCACAGATATCATATCAGGATATCCCATAAATATCATTAGGATATCCCATAGATATCATCAAGATATCCCATAGATATCGTCAGGATATCCCACAGATATCGTCAGGATATCCCATAGATATCGTCAGGATATCCCACAGATATCATATCAGGATATCCCAGAGATATCATCAGGATATCCCATAGATATCGTCAGGATATCCAACAGATATTTTCAGGATATTCTCAGTATATCTTCTGGATGTCAAGAAGATATTCTTAGGATACTGTTCTTAAAGTCATTATCCCTAATAACACAAGATATCTTGGGATATATTGATAATATCCCGCAGATATCCTAGGGATGTCCTATGGATATCAAAAGGATCTCTTAAGGATATCCAAAAAATTGGTTGGATATCCTATGTATTGGTTTGGATATCCTTTGGATATCCCATGGATATCTGAGGATATCCACAGGATATCTTCTGGATATCTCTATAGACTTTCATAAATGTCCTCCAGATATCCCATAGATATCGTCCGGATATCCCACAGATATCATCAGGATATCCCATAGATATCGTCAGGATATCCCAGAGATATCATCAGGATATCCCATAGATATCGTCAGGATATCCCACAGATATTTTCAGGATATTCTTAGTATATCTTCTGGATGTCAAGAAGATATTCTTAGGATACTGTTTTTAAAGTCATTACCCTTAATAACACAAGATATCTTGGGATATATTGATAATATCCCGCAGATATCCTAGAGATGTCCTATGGATATCAAAAGGATCTCTTAAGGATATCCAAAAAAAAATCGGCGGTTTGGATATCCTTTGGATATCCCATGCATATCTGAGGATATCCCATGGATATCCTGCGATATAATATCCAATAGATATTTTGTGGATGTCTAAGGGATATCCTGTAGATATCCTATGGATGTCCTGTTAATGTCCCACAGACCGGCGGTTTGGGTATCCTATGGATATCCTATAGATATCCCAAGATATCCTGGGGACCATTCTAGGATATCGACTATTGAAATGGATATCCTATGGATATCCTAGGGATATCCTTTTGTTATAAGGGTTCAAAATCTTTTTTTAAATTAGAAAAAAAAATTCAAATAATTTTTTACTTAATTATTATTATCAAAGAAATATTTAATTTTATCAAATAATTTTGATCTGTACCAAATATAATTTTTCTTTGTGACAAATAATTTTTCCTTGTATATTAAATAATTTTCATTTTTATTAAATTTTCATTTCTTCTAGTAATTCTAATTTCTAATTTTTCTAATGTAATAATAATTCATTTTTTCATGTAAATTAAAATTAATGCTCCAATGTAAAAAAAATATATATATCAGTGTTGAAAGAATTATTTAATTAATTGTTTTTTCTGATTTCCAGTCAGAATTCAAAATTTTTCGCCCCTGACTCTAATGAAAATATTTTTCAAGAAAAAAAAATTATATTCAATTTTTAATAATAAAAATGTATAAGATATTAATTTTTAGAAGCAAAAACGTTTGAATTGAAAATTTCAAAAATTATAATTTTACTAGAATTTTTAGAAATATTTAATATTTTTCCCAAATACTTTTCATAAAATTTTCGTTATTTTTCCTAATTTCCCTGACCTAATGGCAATTTGAATTATATTATTTTAATATACTTTTTTAAAAATGGAATTTAAAAGAAATTGTTTTTTTGTTTTGACAAAAAATAATTATAATTTAATTGAATTAAAAAGAAATTTATTTAATTCAACAATTTAACTTTACTATTTATCATAATAAATATTTCCTGGAACAAAACACGATTTTTTAGGCAAAATTTATTATTTATTTCAAATACAGTAATTATTAAATTCATAAATACAGATTTTAAAATTAAAATTATTTAATATAATAAAAAATTATTTGATTCAAGGAAATATTTATTTAATAATTAGTCAAGTAAATTATTGAAATATCCTAAATTAATTTTTTTTTGAAACAAAATTTTAAAAAAACTTTTTTTTTTTTTGAATTCCTTTCAAAAAAATGTATAAAAATAATATAATATAATATAATTCAATAGAATATATAATATAATATATTTTTTTAAATTTGAATATTAATTTTAATTTTACATGATAATTTAAAAAAATATATTAAAAACAGAAATTTTTATATAAAAGGACAGGAAACATAAAAAGAAAGTTTTTTTTTTTACAAAAAGAAACAATTTTTTTTACAAAAAGAAACTTTCTTTTTATAAAATTAAACAGTTGAAATAAATGTGAATTTAATAACTAATCATTTGCTTTTGTACCATCAAAAATCTGTCAAAATGAAATATTCATGAATATAATGTGTTGATTTATATATATATATATATATATATATTTTTTTTTTTTCTTAACAAAAATCTCGGACAAAAGTAAGACGCACATATGTTTCTATTTGTCAAATAAATAAATATTACATGTCATTTTAGCACCTATATAAATGCAAAAAAAAAAATGAAATTAATTTCCCACTTATTGAGAATATTTATTACTCACGTTCTTGTTTTGAGAAAAAAAAAAAAAAAAGAAAATGCAATTTGGAAAGATATTAATAATTTTGTCCATATTTCTAATTTCTGAAATATACGGTCATGGAAAATTGATGCAACCAGTAAATAGGGCAAGTAATATTTTATTAATATAATGAATAATATTCATAATTATTTTTATTGTAAATAATTATTTATTTATATTTTCTAATTAAAAAATAGGAATTAAATTATTATTATTAATTACAATTAATTATTTATTTATTATTAGTGTTTTTAATAATTATAACTAATTATTATTATTAATTAATTATAATTATTTAATAATTTATTATTTTTTTTACTAATCATTAGTAAGTAGTCCACATCTTTCGGTTTTTACATTCTTTACATTTTCCATTGACTTTTTTTTTATAAATATTTATAAAATAGTTTATTTATTTTTTACTTTTTTATTTATAAATATTTTTTTAAATTAAAAATTAGGCAAGTGCATGGAGAAGGGGATTTGAAACTCCAGTTTGTTATGATGATGATCAAAATTATTGTGGCAGTGTTGGCGTGAGTTAATTTTCAATATAATTGAATACAATATACTTATGTGAAAAATGAATTTTAAAAAATTAGAAATTTTATTTTATTCTTTAGGTTCAACATGGTTGGTTTCATGGAAAATGTGGAATCTGTGGAGACAGTTTTGGAGAGAGTCGACCGCGACCAAATGAAAATACTGGAATTTTTGGCCAGGGAATTATAGTCGAGAGGTAAGTGAAAAAATTTCATTTATTTATAAACAAAAAAAAAAGGGAAAAAATTTTCATTTATTTATAAACAAAAAAAAAAAGTAAAAAAAATACTCATTTTTTTCAAACTACAACACCCAGAGAATAATTTTATTTCAGACAAATAAAATTTATATTTGAATAAAATAAAAATTATATTTGTCTCAGAGCCAAATAACTATATGTTTCAAATTAAAAAAATTTAATTTAGCACAAATAAAAATTTATTTAGCGCAAAGAAAATTTTTATTTAAACCAAATAAATTCTATGTAAAACAAATAAATATATTTATTTGGCTGAAAATTTTTAAATTATTGTTTAAAAAATTTTGGGTTTAAATTTTTTTTTTTTTTTTTTTGCAAATTTATAATTTATAAATATATAATTAAAAAAAAAATAATAATTTTTATATTTCACAATAGATATCGAGAGGGACAAATAATAGATGTCATTAGTGATTTTACAAATACTCATCGTGGTTTCTTTAGATTTTCTTTATGTCCCTTGCGACATTCACGTGAACTCGAAACGGAAGAATGCTTTATTCCCCTAAAATTTGCAAACGGTGCGGATCGATATGAAATGGGAGATAATCCTCCTGGAATTTACAAATCTCAGGTAATTCTCCCGAGAGGAATAACTTGCAGAAATTGTGTTCTCAGATGGGAATATATAGCTGGAAACAATTGGGGCACTTGTGAAGACGGAAATGAAGCAACTGGCTGCGGACCTCAAGAAACATTTAAAACTTGTTCTGACATTAGTATTCAGTAAATAAATATTTTTTTATATAAAAATTGTAATTCAAAAATAATATATATATTTAATTTAATTTATTGTGCTTATTTTTGGTATAATAAAAAAAATAAAAAAGAAAATTCTTTTTTTTCGAGCCTAAAAAATATCTATAAAAGTCGTTATATGACAATTAAGAAAAAATCTATTTTTATTAAAATCTATTTTTAATTCCTTCAGTTAAAAATTTCGCTTAACAAGATAAAAATTAAAATATAATTCAATATTCAAATAATTAATATAGTATATATACCTTCAAAATTTTCAATAGATTCCATTTACGAAATAATTTCTGTACGAAAATTATATTGCGACCTATAAAAAGAGATATCTTTAGATTTTAAAATGAATTTATGGATTCATAATATAATTTGCAATTATTATATATATATATTTAATTTTAAGGAAGGAAACAAAAAAGAGAGATATGTAAAATTATTAATAATACTAGAGGGAAAATTCAATGAAAACACTGATTTATTAAACGTAAATTACATTTCTTGGCGGTGACACAATTCTTTTCTCAAATCTGTATTGGTAATTGAAAAGAAATTAAAATTAAAAGGAAAGTTCATTATTAAAAATAATAATGTATTAAAGATTAAAAATTCATTCAGTATAATTTAAATATATGAATATAATTTTTAAATAAATATCTCCTCATGAGAAGTAAAAATTTTATACATTCATTCAGTTAACAAAAAAAAAGTCGAGAAAAATTATTTAAAAAATAAAATCTTTTTTATTTTCATTCAAAAAAAAAAAAAAAATTTAGAAAAAATATATAAAAATAAAATACCTTTCTTTGAGTTTGATTTAACGTAAGACTCGAAAATTTTGAAAAATTTCTAATTTTGAAATATATAGTAAAAATATCACTCCTTCAAGTCCAACTTTAAAAATAAAAATACATAAATAATGTTTCAACGTGCATCAGTAACGTAAAGAAAAAAAAAATTTAAATAAACTCAGCTGTATTGATAGTATAAATGTTTATTTAAAATTTTTCATAATTCTTCAATGGGGAAAAATGTATGTTTTCTCTATTTTTAACACCTTGATACTAATATCTTACTTTATAATTTTAAAATTAAAATTTTACTGATAATTTTCTAATTTTATTTTATTTTTATATGCTAATTTGATATTATTGTTATTATTTTTTTTTTTATCAGCGCATAATTCATTTGTTTCATCATGACATCAAAAGTGTAACACCTGAATTGCAAATAAATGAAAAAAAAATTTCTTATTATGACAATCGTCATAAATGCTAATATTTTTATAACTTTTTCCTTTAGATTATATTGAAATAAACATTAAAAAAAAAAAAATAAATAAAACAGTTGTTTTTTGAATAATGAATAATTCCCCTTCCAATTTTATTATAAGAACCATATAAAAAGAAAACGCCTTCCAATATGAAATCAATAAACAAATTTATTGGAATTTTTCTCAATAAATTGGAAAAATTATTTACTTTTTTTTTTTTTTATTTCAAAATGAAAATTTTTATTTTAACCTTCATTCTTGTTATTAATTTACAAGGAATTTTTGGCCATGGAAAAGTAACTGATCCTGTGAATAGATTAAGTGCATGGAGAAAGGGATTTAAAACTCCTCCAAATTATACTGATAATCAGGGTTTCTGTGGTGGCAAAGAGGTGAGACTATGTAAAAAAAAAGGAAAAAATGTTTTTTTATTCAAAAAAAATTTAAGAAAAATAATTTTTTTCACTATACAATTTGTATCACCCTGAGAAATATTTTATTTGAATCAAATATAATATATTTGAGTTAAATAAATGTATATTTGTCTCACAGCCTATTATAGCCTATTTATTTAGCGTAAATATAAAATTTTTTATTAAAAATAAAAGAAAATTAAATTAAATTTAATTAAATAAAAATTTATTTGAATCAAATAAATATTTATTAGACTGTGAGATAAATATATAATTTCTCCTGGATATATAATAGAAATATTTTAGTTGCATTTTTTTTCGTGACTAAATTATTTTCCTTAAGGATTCTTAGCCCATTAACATAACCTCAAAACTAAAAAGTTGTTTTTAACAGAACTAAAAATAAATTTAAAAATTTATTACACCCAAATTCAACAGTTTCAATTGTACAATTTTGGAAAAAAAATTATTTTCAGTTAAAATTTGTTTTGTTAAATAATAATTAATAAACATTTTTTATTTTTTCTTAAAAGTTAGTGAAAAATTGTAATTTTTATACAATTCTTACAAACAATAGCTCATTTTTCTCTTTGAAATATTTTCTACAATTCTGTTTGTTGAATTTTATTGAAAAATATTTTTGTTCAAAAGTTAATAAACAAATAAAATTTTTTTTTTCTATTTTTTAAACAAACAATTATTTAACAAAAACACAAAATCAGAATTGCAGAGAATCTTTCAAAAGAGAAAAATGAGTAATTGTTTATAAAAATTGGATAAAAATTAGAATTGTTCACTAACTTTTAAGAAAAAATACAAAATGTTTATTAATTATTATTAAACAAAATAAAATTTAATTGAAAATAATTTTTTTCCAAAATTTGTACAATATTGGATCTGTCGAATTTGGGTGTAATAAATTTTAAATATATTTTTAGTTCTATAAAAAAAAAAAATTTTTTTAGTTTTGAGTTTATGTTAATGAATTGAACCTCCTTAAAGATTCTTAGCCCATTAACATAACTTCAAAACTAAAAAAGTTGTTTTAAAAAATAATAAATAAAATTAATTCTAACAAATTTTGAAATACAATTTTTAAAATAAATTGTTTTGAACAAAAAAGTTTTTTACTAAATAATAATTATTTATTATTAATATAATTATTTTACTTTCATTGATAATCAACTCCAATCGTGATCGCTATATTTTTTTTGTAATCTATACGCAAAAATACGTATGTATACAAAATAAGACAAAAAATTTAAAAAAAAATTAAATTTCAACACTTAATTTATATAATAATTTGCATAATACTTTAGGGTATTAAAATTAAAATTATACCATAAAAGTAAAGAATTTTCGAACATTTAAATGGCAATAGAGGTAATTACAAATTTTTGGCTCAATCCATTTTATATTTTAATCAAAAGTCGTTAAGGCCTAATTTTTTAAAAAATAGATACTTTCCGAAATGATTCTGGATGATATCGCAAAAATCTGATAAAAATCCTGAATTAGGGACAGAGATAATTTTTTGCCGAAACACTACGATATTGTATTTCCATGTATATACATTGTACTATTTTCCACTGAATTCGAATTCAAAATTAGAATTGAGAGATTAGCTTAAAATTTTTGAAGATAATGCCAAAAAACTGATTTTGAGTTTTTTTTTTTTTAATTTTTTGTTTATTGGAATCAATGGCTAAAAATACATGGAATTACACTATCGCAATGTCATACAAAAATTTTGTCACTTTTGGATTTTTTTTTTCTTTTTTAAACAGTTTTTTGAGTTTATCTCAAAAATAAGAGCCAACTTTTAAATTCTGCCCCCTGATTCGGATTCAGTGACCCAAAATACGTAAGAATGACTAGTCTCTTTTGCCGGACAAAATTTTTTTTTGTGGGTGTTTGTTAATTAAGTAAAAAAATGAAAATAATACACTGGGTAGCGATTATGTATTTTGATTTAACTTTGACGTCAAAGTCATTTTCATTTTGACTTCGTATAGTCAAATGTCATTTTTCATAGTTTTACGTAAAATGATTGTTTTGATTTGTCTAATTGTAATAACCACAATTTTAAAGTATAATTACTTTTTTCCCTTTATTAAAAATTTAAGAATAAAAACTTTATTTAGAAATTAAATGATGAAAAAGTGAAGTAAGTAATTTTAAAAAGATCAAGACAGCATTACAAGGATTTTTAAAAAAAAACTTTTATAACTTAAACAAACTAAGTAAAAGTAAGAGATTAAAAAAACTTTAATTTATGAAATATAATTAAAACATTAATATTATTTTATTTATTTATTCATTCACATATATGTTAAGAGGAAAAATTGAAAGAATTATTTAAATATTACTATTTATATATAATTAATTATAGTTTAAATAAAATTAATCGTTAATTTTTATTTACACAAATATAAATAACAGTCTCGTTACTGAATTTATGTTTAGGAATTAATTGCAATTACATTATGCCAAAAAATTGAGTATTTTTAATAATAATTTATGTTGAGCATTTTCTTATTTTAAATTACATCAATAAATTATGTAGAAAATGTCAATTTGCTTAAAACAGTATAGGAAACTAATTTAAGTTAAAATTATTTTAGGAAAAAAAATATTTCATCGGTCAAATGTAAGTAATTTTTTATGTTTTTAATTGTCTTTTAAACGACATAATTTCTTCTTTAGTTTTTGATATTTTAGTTTATTTTATTCTGACTAAATTTATAAAAATGTAAGTAAGGCATTATTCAAAACAATTATAACATATCCCTGGTTTCAACATTAAAAAATACTTACCGTTGACAGATGAAATAATTTTTTTTTAAAATAATTTTAACCTAATTATTAAACTTTTAAAAATTCCTTAATTATACCGCTTTTTCAACTGTTTAAAATTACTTACTTTACTTTTTTTATAATTTAATTCCTAAATAAATTGTGGATATTACAATTTGACAAATCAAAACAATCATTTTACGTAAAACTACGAAAAATGACAACGAAGTCAAAATGAAAATGACTTTGACGTGAAAGTTAAATCAAAATACATAATCGCTATCCTGAAAAAAAAAAAATTATTTGATTCAAATAATTCAAATTATTTGAAAAATATTTAATTATATTACGTCGTCTCGTTCGAATAGATTAATACGTAGTACCATCATTTTGGTAAATCTGATCACATTTTTAAAGCTAATTCAAATTTAAAAAGTTGCACAACGCCGCCGCCGCCAATCTCCGGTGGCGCTGTGCCTTCCCTTCCGCTAATATTCATTCCATTTTTTTGTGTAAATCTGTGAACACTAAAAAATTTTTCTAGAGTGATAATTTAATAGTTTTTATTCAATAGTTAGTTTTTATCGCTTCCAAAATGGAAG